CTCTCTCCTCTCTCTCTCTCTCTCTCTCTCTCCCTTCTCTCTCTCTTCATCTCTCTCTCCTCTCCTTTCCATCCCCCTCTCTTCCTCTCCCTCCTCTCCTCTCTTCTCTTCCCTCTCCCTCTTTCTCCCTCTCCACCTCTTTCTCCCACCCTCTCTCTCTCTCTCTCTCTCTCTCTCTCTCTCTCTCTCTCTCTCTCCTCTCTCCTCTCTCCTCTCTCTCTCTCTCTCTCCCCTCCCTCTCCCTCCCCTCTCTCTCTCTCTCTCTCTCTCTCTCTCTCTCTCTCTCTCTCTCTCTCTCTCTCTCGTATATGTGTTGAAAAAAAAGTTGAAAACTGACAGTCTGCACTTTAGTTGAGTCTTGTATTGAGAGTAGAGAGGGTCAGTATATTAACCCTTAAGAAAAGATGTCTTTCTGTGTAAAAGCCAATGACCTCCGAAGCGAGAGGAAGCGATAGATAAGAAAATGGAGAGTAAAGAACTCGAGTAAAGCAGGCGTGAAGGAAGTGTAAACAAGCAATCAGTCGCAGGTCTATTTTGCAGAATTATTTAATGGCTGCGGTAAAGACGGCATTGTCATTTTCGTTAAGAGACAAGTTGTGAGAGCGGGAATGGGCACGTCCGCGTCTTAACGGTTGTTTATTACTTGTTTAGACGTTGTTTGTGGTTGAAGTCGATGCGTGTGTTGGGTGTGGTGTGGGTGGGTGTGTGTGTGTGCGTGTGCTGTGTGTGTGTGTGTGTGTGCGTGTGTGTGTGTGTGTGGTGTGTGTGGTGTGTGTGTGTGTGATGCGTGTGTGTGTGTGTGAGCATATGTGGGTGTGTACGCTCTAGTGTGTGTTTGTGTGTGTATGCGCGCGCGAGCATATGTGTTTATGTGCATACCTACGCGCGAAGAGTGTGTGTGCGTGTTGTGTGTACGTCAGCGTGCTTGCGTGCATATATATAGTTACGTCTGCATCTTTCCCCCGACATCAAAAAGGGCCTTTGGCTGCGCGCCTTCGCTCCGCACCAAATTCTGATTCGCATATTCCGATGAAGGA